ATTCAAACACGGCGGCGAAGAGCTGATAAGGTGCATGCATCAGCTTCCTTGCAAAATATTGTCCAACGAAAGTATGCCCGACGATTGGAATTTAAGTGGGCTATGCCCAATCCATAAAAAAGAAGACCCCACAATCTACACCAACTACCGTGGGATTAGCCTCCACAACATCGCATATAAGGTTCTGTCGAGCGTATTGTTTGAAAGATTAAAGCGCACCGTCAACAAACTGATTGGACCTTATCAATGTGGCTTTAGACCTGGTAAATCAACAACCAACCAGATATTCGCCATGCGCCAAATCTTGGAAAACACCCGTGAAAGGAGAATCGACACACACCACATCTTCGTCGATTTCAAAGCTGCTTTCGACAGCACGAARAGAAGCTGCCTTTATGCCGCGATGTCAGAATTTGGTATCCCTGCAAAACTTATACGGCTCTGTCAGAATCGGGAAGGACCTCTCTCAGCCGTTCGATACCAAACGAGGTTTCAGACAAGGTATTACTTATAGTGAGACTTTTTCAACCTGCTTCTGGAGAAAATAGTTCGAGCTGCAGAACTAAATAGAGAAGGTACCATCTTCTATAAGMGTGTACAGCTGACGTACGCCGATGATATTATGTTAATGAGGCGTACGGCCTCAACACCCGCGCCGTTAGTTCTGCTTTCTCCAGACTGGACAAGGAAGCAACACAAATGGGTCTGGCCGTGAACGAGGGCTAGACGAAATATCTCCTGTCATCAAACAAACAGTCGTCGCACTCGCGACTTGGTACACACTTGGCATGCTTTGAAGTTGTAGATAATTTCGTCTATCTTAGAACCGGCGTAAACACCACCAACAATGTCAGCCTAGAAATCCAACGCAGGATAACGCTTGCCAACAGGTGCTGCTTCAGACTGAGTAGGCAATTGAGAAGCAAAGTCCTCTCTCGACAAACAAAACCAAACTCTATAAGTCACTCATAATTCCCGTCCTGCTATATGGTGTAGAGGCTTGGACGATGTCAACAACGGATGAGTCGACGTTGCGAGTTTTCGAGAGAAAAGTTCTGCGAAAGATTTATGGTTCTTTGCGCGTTGGCCACGGCGAATATCGCATTCGATGAAACGATGAGCTGTACGAGGTATACGACGACATTGGCATAGTTCAGCGAATTAAAAGACAGCGGCTACGCTGGCTAGGTCATGTTGTCCGGATGGACGAAAACACTCCAGCTCTGAAAGTATTCGACGTAGTACCCGCCGGGGGAAGCAGCGGAAGAGGAAGACCTCCACTCTGTTGGAAGGACCAAGTGGAGAAGGACCTGGCTTCACTTGGAATATCTAATTGGCGCCACGTAGCGAAAAGAAGAAACGATTGGCGCGCAGTTGTTAACTCGGCTATAATCGCGGAAGCGATGACTACGCCAATTAAGAAGAAGAAGAAGATGTAACTTTGATAAGCCGATTGGGAGGTAAGAATTTTCAAGACATAGTTATTTAATAGGCGACGATATAATCCAACACACTTCAAATAATAAATTAACACATAATAAATTCTGCAGTTGAAAGAGAARTTGCCAACCGAAAAAATTTCGAAAATCACTATTAGATAACTTCACGTGTAATAAGTTATCTAATAGTGATTTCTGATATTGTATACATAGAAAAAATCGACAAGCACGTCCTTTGCTTTATGACATGTTTGAGGCACTCATTATTCGATAAACAGAGGTAATATCAACACTTTGTTTTACGCTTGCTATTTCGCCTGAATCATATTTTGGGAGTATGATTTTTAATTGGGAATTGAGAATTAATTATATTATATTTGAAACAAATGTACAAAAATTTTCCACAAGTCTCTTCACATCAACTATTAAGGTTCTCAACTGATTATTTAATTGTGTTCAACGTTTCGTTGGAAAGAAATTGTTTAATTGTTTCAAATCTTAAATGAAATAGATAATAGACTCAGGCTATGATACATCACTAACGGAAGAATGAGAAAAGTAAATTAAAAAATTTTCGAACTTTCATAGTAGTTGTAAATAATTCTAAGAGGCCAAGAAGGTCTTTGACCTAACAATTCAGATTATTATTAATTTCGATCCAATAAGAGATAATATTGTTAATTGGTTGTCGAGATAGTTGATGAAAAAATGACAAACAAAAAATAATGCTTAAAACTGTTTTTTTTTTAAGTCGTCCGACTTTCACCGAAATTCGTTATTCAATCCACTYACGACCTTCGAATATTTTGAGGTGATTGGACGTAACAGTTATCACTTTGAATCAATGATGCTTGTTCCTCTCGAAAAATCAATAACTTGAGAACGATTGGACGAAATGTCATGAAATTTGATCACAATTTCAGTAAATATTAGTAAGCGAAGACAAGGACAGAGCTAGAGGGCATAGTATAGTCATCAATGTCAAAAACATGTAGGATTTATGCAGTATCTGGCTAGTACTCATCAATGTATGAGTTGTCCAGCATCTGTCCATTTTTGACGTTAGACTTTAATATCATCTAAATACTAGACACGATCGGCAGGCGTCGTTGGACACTTGTTATATTAATACRGGGTGGCGCAAAAGTAATCCTCCTATCAGAAGATGTTATAAATTTTGCAATTGACCCCTAATGCCAGTTCTGTTTTGACATTTGTGTAGTTAAAAAATGTGAAATACACGTAAATAAACAATGATACGCTACACTGCTCTAGAACGCGGGTTATTGGTGACTATTTATTTCACCACGCAAATGGGTATCCGTCAACGGTGTTTTCAGCGAATTTTGGTACGAGATTTGTAGATGTTTCCGTCAGTSCAGACGGTGCATCAACATACTGCCATCCTTTATCACCACCAAGAGGAAGATGATTTTTCATCAAAAATAATCATGAGAGATGAGGCCCATTTCCATCTTAGCGGATACGTAAATAAGCAAAATTTACGCTTCTGGGGCACTGACAATCTGCGTGTAGCCCATGAAGAGCCATTACACACGCTCAAAGTCACTGTATGGTGTGCTGTTTTCGCTGGAGGAGTCATCGGGCCTTTTTTCGTCGAAGGGTCGCTGGCCAAACGGTTACTGTTTTGTGGTGAGCGCTACAGAGCCATGATCAACGGGTTCTTTTTGCCGAAGCTTGATGAATTGGGATTGGAAAACATATGGTTCCAAAAGGACGGTGCAACGGAACACACTGCTCGTGCCACAACCGATATGCAGAAGAATGCATTTCCAGGGCGCCTAATCTCCCGTTTTCTCGATTTGCGCAGGGCAGCAAGATCGCCTGATTTGACAGCTCCAGACTTATTTTTGTGGTTTATGTCAAGAAGCCTCAGACTCTTACAGTCTTGTGAGGACCTGTCGCCGGAAGTTCTGGTTAAAGTGATGGAAAATGCCATAAAAAGGGCTCAAATGACAATCAACTGTGGCGGCGGCCATTTACATGATATCATATTCTCGACTTGATGCGAACCAAATAAAAATAATTAACAAACAGAATCAAAGTTCTTCATTTTTTTTTTTAAATTACAGCCAAAAAACATCGGAAGGTTATTTTTGCGCCACCTTGTATATTAAACGGATTACTAGATGAAGAAAACTGTGGTCTGTGTTTTCGGAAAACATTGTATACTGACAAATTGGGATTTGACTGAGTTGGCTTTTTTATATATATACCAATTGCCGACCGTACATGTTCCTTTGAGGCGGGTGTCGCTAAACGTTTCAGCAATTCTGCTCTTGATTGCGTGGTGCGTATAGACAAGAGAGTTGTATGTTATAGTGTTAYGTACTCATGGGTGGGTTGGTAGTTGTTGTTACTTTAGCAATTATCTAGCCCCCGCTTGGATGGTAAGGTCCAGGTTGATGCCATCGAAATCATCTAACAGCACACCCTGGAAACTTCCTGTTTCCCCATAATTGGACACTACACGATGTGTACATATGTATGTATATTTGCTATGTCGGGGTCAAATCTGCATAAACAGGAGTTGAACAMGGGAGGTATTAGTAAGTGGACAACAGTGCCTGAATATGTCGAAGAAAGAGTGATTTGTAGTGTATTGAAACATTCTCAAATTTTTGTTTCCTACACCAAATCATGATTTTGAACAAGACAACCTCGACCAGAAAGAAATTAGTGATGTTAATTATGTTTGGCTAACAAAGTATCATTGTAATTTACACCATTATTCGCTAACTAAGCATTTATTTTGCTTTTTATAAACGTTAACTAAAATAATAATTACATATACATATATGTATGCATATAGCTTTGTTAAATAAATACTTATGTAGGCATCTATATTATTTGACTATTCAAACATATAAAGTTACATGCACTGGACTCATGGAAGTTCTTTCAACTGCACAAATGAAGAATTCTTGAAATTCAAAGCTTGAAAATAATCGATGTACATACCTTCAAATTGCGTTTTCATATTTCGCTTATGTATGCATATATATTTACGTATGCTTATATATACATATATCTGCGAAAAGCAACCTAAAACCATAATAAGACTTTTTCGACTGCTAACAATAAGTCCTCATATTTATAAAACATTTATAAATGCAATGTTTATGCACATATTCTGTCATATCTACATACAAACATACATATTTATCTACATATGTACTCGTTTATTTAAGGGAATAAACAGAGTAAGTATATAAATATGTATGTATGTACATATATATACTTATGTATGTAGGTGTTCATGCATTTCAAAAAATGCTTTTTTAACGTTTTTAGTCAGAGCTAATTATAAAATAAGCTAAATCTGTTATACTTTAGTTAATGTATTATTCTGAAATTTACTTCCGCGTTCTGATTTTTAAATAAAGTTTTAAAATATCTTCATAAAAGCTTTCCTTTTAAACTTTAAACATATATACATATACATACATACATATGTATAACCATATGAACATAAAACTGCATAAATTTATAACCGTTAAAAGTATAAGTGTGAACTAAATATTTATGATTTTTACATACCTGTAAGCTAAATTCATACATTTGAATAATTTGGTGAGCGAAGTTTCTATTTCCAAGTGAGAGGCCACCGCTGATCCTTCTTGACCAAGCTCTTGAACGTATGATATTTTTCGTGGTACAAAACGCTGTACGTCAGTGCATGTATTTTCTACATCCTCTGGTTTTGTTAGATTTATTTCTTCGGGATCAAGCATTTTTACTTCATCATCCTCTTCGAGATCATCTTCTTGAGCTTCTTCCGCTTCGAAATGAGAAACCATAAATTGACCAGAGTGTATAGATTCTCGTTCTGATTTGGAAATATTAGAAGCCATAGTTCCATAATCGGAAAGACCAGCGTCACCAACGCTTGTAGTAATATCACCGCAGCTTTGTTGCTGTTGTACAATCTGCTGATGTTGGTTTTGGTGTTGTTGCAAATAATTCTGATATTTATTTAACATCATTGTGTCTTCTTATCTACGGCGCGAACTCACATTGATTTACGCGTGTCCAATACGAAAATCATTTATACTTCTATTCAAGTTCTATTAATTCAATTTATTTATTTCATTTGAATTGATCTCACAAATAACAAATTTAAAAATTAACGATTGATTTGCTTTGGCTATTAAGCCTARCAATTGTTAAGCCGCGATCTTTCACTACCAGATAGTTCGAAAATCTTGATGATAACAATTTTAAACTGTGCGACCACATATAATATCTTTTTCACGACATACACCTCGTCTATACACTCAAAAAATGATAGCGATTTTGATCCCAACAATATTCGTCGTTCTATAGGTGTTTGCTCTTATCTGCGAAGTAGGTATTCGCATTGGGAAACAATCCAAACGCTCTTTTACACTCTTTCAAATCTCTTGCTGCCCTGTTCAATGACTCTCAACATCACACACTACGGCAATATTTATTCACTATATTTATTTGAAGCTTTGTTTCGTCGGTTACTTATGTACAAATACACATATAATTGCTTATTATTTATTTTAACAATGTAGTACAAATTTACTACTAGATGGGAGTAATTAAATATATTAAATGAGATAACACCAATAACATTGCTGTTACTATTGCTATTAATATAGACTTATTTTCGCACAAAAAAAATTGTTTCTCTTTTGTTACTTCTTCAAAGCACAGAAGCGTCTAAACATAATATCATTATTTCGACTACTAAAGAACACAAATTGATACAAATTTCACATTTTAATTAAAGGTTTACCATTTGCTATTGACATCTACTAGGACGTAACCAATCAGTCCATCTTGGTGTAACAGCCAAATTTATGTTTGAAATGAGAGGAAAATTCCGCTAATGTAACACTGCTAGCCTTGATTCCATTCAATGTATTTGTTTTCTGTTGAGATGAATACCAAATTATTGTAGATTTTTCTACACATGTATAAACAAATCAAGATTTTTAGAATTCAATAAGTTATTATCTTGAATGACGCACATATGCTTATTATTTCGTTTGTATACTTTACGTACTAAAAAGACTCTATAAAATATATATAAATTATACTCCCACAAGTGAACTTCGATAGAATGAAAATTTTATTTTTCCCATCGCGTCAATCACATTAGATAGAGGAAATCAAACAATATGAAGTTGATAACATTTTAGATGAGTCTTAAGTTTGCTGTTCGTTCAACTTCAATAGGTTGTTTTATTCGTTGACTATTGGTAAAGTGTATACACCATTGTGTGTTGTAAGGCCAATGTTTCTAGGAAGATCAGATCTCATGTTGATAAATGACCTGTTATTATGATGGTGAAGTACATTGAACAGCGGGCGGCGATGTAGCTTGCGAGATGTATAGTTTTTTTACAAAAAGTTCAGATTGCATTTTATTACGATGTGATCTTATTTTCTTCCAAAACAAATAATTATGAATATCTAACTAATCAGYACGATATTTCTTACGAATTTTCCCACTTGAATTCACGTCTGTTCTTTCACTTGAATAATACAACTATTATTATTATCAAGAATTGTCCGAACCATATACACATTGCTGTCAAAAAATCCACCACAAAAATCAAGTTGTCAAAAATAGAACATCGCGTTACAAACTGATATCTCTATTATTCCTCAGTTTCCAACAAATTCCTAACAGTGAAGGCAATTCCATTAGCAAGGTTCAGAATATCTCTTATAACGATTTATTATTTATTAATAAGGTCTCGAATAATATAAATTAGATTGTACATACGAACAAGGAGCACATCATCAAGATAAGCTATACTCATGAAAATTGTTAACAACAACGCAAACTTTTCTAAATTCTTGATATAAACTTTATATTATTATTAGGTTAGGTTATCCTGCCAGCTGTCATGGATTACTTATACCCACCGGTCCTTAGTAATGACAGATGGAAACTTTAAACGCGTTTTTCTCAAAACTCCTTTTTTTGATGCGGTAGCAACAATATTTCAAGTTCTAATCAGTCGATTTATTTGAAATTTGGCATGAATATTCTTTAAATATATATCCATCACTAGAAGGAACAAAAAAAAATTTGAAATTTATAATATTTAAAAAAAATCGACAAAATTGAAAAATTAGTGAAAAAATCGATATTTTTTGAGTAGCCCCCATTTAACGAAAAAATAAAACTTTAGGTTTGCTGCTTCATGACATAGCCACATTCGTACTCATTAAGAATCTGTCATTGTTTTATTTTTCAGATGACGACAAGGGTAGAAATCATGGCGATGAGGTTTAATAAACAAATGAAAAGAAAACGGATAGTAAAAATATATAGTGCTTCTTTTTTATTAATTGTTGAAAAAAGCTCGAAATTTGAGAGTCTAGACTAAAATACCCTCTTAAATAGTGAATAGTGTTTTAAATAAAATAAAATATACAATGTATAAATTGATTCGATACAGTTTAATTTCGATACTTATATATTTAATTATACAAAATCGGTTGGTAACAGCAAATGAGCATTTTAAGAACATTTCGACATTTGATTAACTTTAATGTTATCTGTTCTTTCATTAACGAAATCCTGAATCAATAAATGAATTATTCTGTTATAAGTACTACAAGAGATAATGAGATGAAATGAGTTTAGGTTTAGTTTAGTCTGTCTTTCCATTAAATAATGGTGGTAATTTGGAATATCTGGCAATATCGCACAATAATTATTCGATAGTGTAATTCGCCATATTGTTTTCCGATAGTATATCAATGTTTCGATGACTATGTCTCTTTCAGTATCATTTTCCTCAATGAAACCGAAAAAACGTAAAGTGTTAAGTACCGATTTTTTTGCATTTATATTGAGGTGAAAATGGATTTCTAGTTTGTTTGCGTAAGCACAAACCAAGCACTTTTGTGCACAAAAGTTCTTAGCGAAAATGATTTTAAAAAAAAGGTATGTAAAACAAAAAGTTGACTTTTGTTACAATGCATATGTTTGTAAGCCAATCGCCATGTTGTTCCGACGTATACATGGKGTATTTCGAATTGGGATATTAAATAGCAATGATTTTCTGATGTTAATTATTGTCTGAGTTAGTAAGTGGAATGTAATTGCTTGAAATATATTAACTTCAATTGGAAAATTCGCTGATGTAAGATTAAATGATATTGCGAAATCCTAATGCATGTTAAATTTGTATGCGTTGCAGAAACACCAATTAGTAGGGTTGCCAAAACATAGTTTGTTGTAGTAAAATGTAAAGCGGAACWCATGTACTGAATRCATAGAGAGCGACAGACTTCAAGCGACATCTGTCAAATATTAAAATACACACGTTCTTAAGGACACAGTTATGTAGACAGCTGCTCGTCCATGAATAGAGCCTGACACATAAAGGTGCCCAAAATTTTGCTTGGATCGCGTATAAACTAAAAATAAACTATTTATGTGAACGTACTGATACATAACCGTACTTTTCTTTCAAAAAAAAAAGTTCTATGTGAATTGGCCGTTAGTACGTGTTGTATGATTCAATTGTACAGTGGCTCACATCCAAAGTCGGGCAAAAGTATGCAATAGGTTGAAGTGATATTTTTTTAAAGAAATGTAAACTGTTTCCAAAAAACAAGAAATGGTTTTAAAAGCTTATTTATTCAGCAATATTTTACAGCTAGTACTAGTTCTATTTTATTAACATAACGACGCTCAAAAACAAAAATGTAAAAATTCATTAAAAATATGGCCACATCGTAAGTCGGGCAACACACTTCCTTTTGGCTTGTGTTTGTAATAAGTGCGATGTTTWGTATTTTGTTRCGTATCCATTTTGCTTTTCCACTTCTTGGAGTCTATAAAGAATACTTTCAACCAGTTTACGACAAACATCTGGAGTTATTTTMGTCCATTCCTCTTGGAGCACAGGTTTAAGTTGATCCCTGTTGGTGCACCTCCTATTTTGAACTCTGCGACCTAGCTCATCCCACAAATGCTTTATCACATTAAGGTCGGGGCTTTGCGCTGGAGTTTTTATGACCTTGGGGCAGTTATACAGCAACCAAGTCTTCACCAACAACGAGGAGTGCTTCGGGTCWTTRTCMTGATAAAACTTGAAATTATCAGCAATACCCAACATACGCGCACTTTCCTTCACATTTGCCTTCAATATATTCAAATAAATATTTTTATCCATTATTCCTTCAATAAAATGGAGTCTGCCCACGCCGGAGGCCGCCATGCATCCCCAGACCATTACGGAACCTCCTCCGAGCTTAACGGTCTTTTTCGTGTTTTTATTTTTATATTCTTCGTTTGGTTTATGCCACACAAAACGCCTGCCGGCAGATCCGAACAAATTAAATTTGCTCTCATCTGTGAAAAGAACCTTAACTTATTAGGAAATGTTCAAACATAATCGCATTTACAATTTACCTGACTCCAAAATGAGAAGTCTTTCGTTTTGTATTCGCGCGCAAAATCAAGCCGATCTTTTTTATTTTTTGCACTAATCCAGGGCTTTTTTCGCGTCACTCGTCCATTTAAGTTGTTTTTCCGCAACACTCTCTTACAGTTTCCGCACAAACACTAATCCCGAAATTTTCTTTGAGAGATGTAGCAAGTTTTGGGGCGGAGAGAAACGGATCCTTTTGAATTTCTTTTCAAATGTACTTTTCATCTCTCGAACTTAACTTTCTTTCAGCTGCTTTTCTTTGCTTATTTTCTATTCTTTCGCTGTCTTCATATCTACTTATGATATCATGTACAGTCGACTTATTTTTATTTACTAAAACCCCAATTTCTCGTTCAGTTTTACCTTTTGAATGGTGATAAATGACCAATTTTCGCTCTTCGATCGTTGACTGCTTTAYTTTACGTGACATTTCAAAAACCAGGAGAACGAATGTTGTGAAATGTTACTTTCTTCAAACCTCGATTTCAACCATTGTATAACCCTGTAGGTTTATACAATGATTTCAACTAAAATTTGCTCAATTTAAAAATCATATTTTTTCTGTTCCTAACGGTAAATATTTCACTCCGTTTCGCGCAGGTGTTTTGCCCGACTTTCAATGTGATCGCATTTACAGAACATTTTTTCTTTTTTTRTTTGCAGTAACGTTATACTAAAGTGTATAGTTTTAATTGTTGCAAGCCTTATTGCGTTATAAGTAAGTAATTATAGTGGAAAAAAAGCTAAGAAAAAAAAAAGAGTTTTAAATATTTAAAAAAAACCAACACAGATATGTTGATTGCTTGCCCGACTCACGATGTGAGCCACTGTATGTTTCTTTCAAAACTCATTACTTAGAACTACGGGCGACAGTGGTCGAAATTCGTCCAATAAAAAAATATGGAAGAATGAAAAAATTAAAATATTGAAAAGTATTAAAAATTACAAAAATGAATAATAATATTTACATATTTCATATTGCAAAGGTCTCAAAACAAGGTGTRCGACCGTATGCTGAGATTATGGGTCCTGCTGCATCAATTTTTATAGTCTATGTTTGTTCCTTCACTCCTCATAGGACCGCGGTTATCGCCAAGGTTCCTAGCCTCAACAAAATCCTCAAGTCGCTAGCCGGCAACACATGGGGAAAAGACAAAGAAACCCTGTTGGTAACTTACAAGGCAATCGGCCGGTCGGTCCTTAACCCCTTGACGTGTTTCCTCAAGTCTGACTCGTGGTAAAATTTTTGTGTCATGATTATCACGAGTCTGACTGGTGGTGTGTAGAAGTGTACATTTGATGAAAAGAGAATGAAAATTTCCCGTTATTTTCATAATGTAAACAAAAAAACATTGTTGCAGTTGAGTACATTATCTACTGTGTAATTATCCATATTTTTTGTTAAGCATTAAAATTAAATCGTAGTATTT